ATAAAAACGATTTGATTTCGGATACTACATGCCCCATTTGCCACAAGCAGCTGCAAGTATGAAGTTGCATATTGCAACCTGTTAGAATTGCAATCGCCGGCACGGCGGTGGGTTGGCGGTGATTTCTCAGGAGGAGGCACGTCTACACTCGAAATTACTGTGTGTATGTGGTTACTGCTGATGTTGCAGCCACTGCTAATGGCCATTGCGTCTGTTGCAAATGTGGCTGGCCTGCAACTCTGCGGCACATATTGCGAAAATCTTCAGCAAAACAAAACAGCGCGGAACCAGACGATAATCAAGCAGCCAAAGAGTCAAGAAAAATGGTCAGAAAACGGGTTATACCAACTCATTTTTCCTTCTCTTTTTTTCGGTCTTTTCAGTCAATTCGGGCTTTAGTGGAAGTGCTTTCGGTTTTAGCCTCTTTCGGCTTTTGTCTCTCCTCTGTACCTGTCTCTCTCTCTCTCTCTCTCTCTCTCTTCAAGCCTTTTGCCATTACAATAATTCTGTTTGCCTATTTATTTTGTAATGCTATTATTTTTTGAGTAAGAATTTCAACAACATTTGTGGGTAACATTTAAGTGCTTGAAAAAATGGTCTGTAAACACGACGAGTGTCAAACTCGATATGAAGCTGGCTTTGAAGAAGAACGGAGAATGGAGAAAAATTGAAAGGGCTTGCGGTCTTTATACTAAATGGTATTTAGTTATTATGAGGGATTATAATTTTTAAAATATTTGAGGCATTCTTTTCGGTGAAAATAAAGATTAAAAAATAAAAAAATTTATTTAGACATAATTTGCAAGAAATCGTTGTTAAAAAAAAGAGAGAAAAATCAATACGGACTTGTGGGAAGCCTTCTGTAAGATGATAATGTTGATTTTATATGCTTAAATGAGCTCCAAAGCTAATTTTGATTTTAATGCCATGTTCTATTTATAGTTCAAATAAACTTTTATCTTTTAACTAATCAATAAGACTTCCTAAAGTATCTATAAATCTTCGCCTTGTCACTCACTTCATTTAAAATTTTTTCCCACATAAAATTCTAAAAAATACTCTCCATTGAATGAACTCTGCTCTTTAAAAAAATTCACCAAAATTATTCCTTGCATGTATGGTGCATTTTACAAATTCCCTTAAATTCTTTTGACCATTGTTGGACAGCATAAATCTCTTTTCTTATTATTCTTTGGCATTCAGCTTGAGTTGTTTGCACAATTGCAAAGCGAGTTATTGTTCTCGTGTGGAATTTATAGCCCTCCGTTGGATGGTCTCCACCAAAAATCCTTCACTTCTTTTATATGTCCGATTTCTGACATTCCACACATGATTTGCACACTTTATCGCGTATATTATCCGTCGCACTCATTTAAATTCCATGCATTGTCCTCCGCTGTACACATGAGAAGTGCCAAGCTAAAAATTTGGCACTTCAGAGATATGTATACGAGAAATACTATGCGTGTGGTATGGGTAGGGGTAGGGCTCACCTTGGTTAGAGAGTGTTTGGTTAGTTAGTCAGTGGGTAATCCTTAAGTATCCAATGGACAACGCGACGTATGATTGACACAACCGAAGCGCTCAAGATGTTAACTGAAACTGTATGTCTGCAAACATGTTTCGTACCACTTAAATACTCCCGAACCCATCAGCGAACTCTGAAAACGAAGAGATACGACAGAAAACAAGCTCGGCTCGCACACGATTGCAACAACGAATGGCAAAAGAAAACCGAAAGCCATAAAACAGATCATGCCATGAAAATCGGTCAAAGAGAAAAATGCACGCGCTGACTGTTGTGCGCTGGAAGCAGGAGACGGAGAGTGGAGAGCTGCTGCTGCCCATTTGCGCAAGAGAAGTTCAATGAGCGGCGCAGAGTGCTGGCCACGCTCCACTGCCGATCCTCCAAACAACTACACACCATTCCCCCATCAGACAATGATCAGACACTCCACATCGCTCCAGACACTGATCCAACACTCAGACATAAGACAGTGATTCACAGCAGACAGATGCCACGCCATGGCACCTCCTTAGCTCATACCACAACCCATCCTCGGCGGCAACCCAAGGGCTTAGCCAAGTTTCGCACCCAAGTTCGTGTGTTCAGTCTTTTGTTTTGGCAGAATTTTATGCTGTGGCTTCCCTTTGGAGTTATCATTCCCACCCAATGGCTCTTCTTCCAGCTAACATTTACAGAGAAAAAGTGCGTGCAATAACTGAGTTATTATCTCGAAAACATAAAAGCACTGCCACATCCATCGAAACGGATTGCATTACGAGTATTTTCTGTCATAATTGTTTCTTTATATTGTACATTTTCGACATTTCACAATTAAGCAATTTACTGCACATGGGGCTTCATAGACGCAGTCGAAATTGGAATCGATGTTGGATTTCGATTTGAAGTTGTGCGAGTATCTTTCACCAAGTCTCTGAGTCTGAGTCGTTGAACTTGCCAGGCGTTTCCTCATTTTCATTTAAATAAAATTGTACATTTTCCATAATTCCAAGCATTGCGTTTTGCCTTTATTTTCTTCGTTTTTTGTCGGGTTTTTTGGTTGAGTTTTTATTGTTCCACTAGCTGATTGCCAGCAATTATCAACGCTTGTATTGGCCAGAGAAGGGGGCCTTCAAAGGGGGTTGGGGCACTATGAAGAGAGGGTGGAGGGTTTCGACTTTGACTTTGCATGCATTGAACTTGCTCTCGCCCTTTTTTTTTGTTTTGCCATGAAGCAAACAATGCGAGAAACTGCAAATGTGGAAACAAACGTAAAGCCAAATGCAAAAAATAAGATGCAAAAAAATGTTGTAACTAACCAAAGCAAACCGACACCTATCATAGGCAGTATAAGAAGTGAAATGCAACAGAAAAAAAACTGATGACGTTGGTGTGTTTGCGTGTTTTATAGGAGGTAGATAGAAGGAGAAACGGAAGAATGAATGAAGTGATCTCGGATGTCAGAAGAATTACCTTTTTTTGTTTTTTCTTTTTGTGCATTTGAAACAGAACAAATCTAGCGCTGGGCTCGGAAGTTGTTGCATGCCCGAGACAGATATTTTAATTATATCCATGGCTGCTCGTATATATTACCATTTTAATATTGGATGAAGCAGGATTATTCTGTGGCAAAATTGTCTCTTAATAAAATAGATTACTTGAAAGCCCCATTCCCCCTAGAACCTCATTCAGTTTGTTCTCCCAAATTGGGCTTTAGAAAAACATTTCCAATAACATAAATCTGCTATGTACGAGTATATATATAAATTAAACTTTTGAACTCTGAAATTTCTCCATTATGCTTTGACACTAATAAACAAAATACAAATAACTCAAAAGGGTTGAATTATGTAAACGAAACTGGTGATGTGTTAAGGGGTCTATAAAAGTGTCATTAACATGGTCGAATGTTTAAAATGGTATGGTATTCGTATAGTGTGGTATGTTGATGACTTGTACTCTTATTTTAATGACTCAATTCGTGAGAGGTTTATTGTAAGACCCCCAAAAGAAATCGCATTGTCAATTGTCAAATGAGGCTGAACAAAAAAAATAGCATAAATAATTAAAGTTTCAGACAAGAACCAGAAGACGTTTCTTTACCAAAAAAAAAAAGCAAACAAAACTAATAAGACGGTAGACTTATAAATTAAGCAGAGTTTCTGGTGTTGCTGTTGCTGCATTTCCACAGTCCAAGAAACTTTCATTGGCAGACGAAAGTCGGCGCAATAAAGAAATTAACAGTAAGAAGTGGCTGGTTAGGAGGTATGGGGACGGTGACTAGTTAGTATATACTTCTACGACGCCTTACCTGTACCTCACACACACTCTGACAGTTTAGGTTGTAAGGTTGTAGTCTTTCTTTGTTCGTTGTTCGTTTTTTTACCCTTAAAAAGGGCACGGGTGCTATGGGTTTGATGAGATGTTTGTAACAAACAGCACAGAGAGTTAATTTTTGATACTACAAGGCATCAGCACTCGTGTGTTTTCTTTAAACTCTAAATCCTCCAGTTTGCAAGTTTATCAGGCCAAAACGTGGCTCCACACTTCTGATGAAAAACATTGCTACTCGTATTTGTGCTGTTCTTTAATGTCTTACAATGAAATTTCATCAAACTAGATTGACATGGGAGCACCTTTTCAAATGGCAGCCAACTAATAATTAATTTGCAAGAGTATCTACTGCTTCGGTGCCCGAGCTCGACCTTTCTCTCTTTTTGTTTTATGAAAGCTGTAAGAAATAAAAACTTTTGGCCGAATGTACCGAGCGTGGCCGCATTAAAAGTTCGCGTTGTATAGCGTTTTCTTAACTCTTAGCTCTTAGCTCTGTTTCTCGAGTTCAGTTCCAGCAGCGGGCTCCGAGCTCCGACCGAAGTTGGGCAATTCGAAAAACCATAAAGTGCGCTTTCAAAATGCCAGCAAAAATATAACAGAAGCACATTCATATGTATATAAAATATGTACTATGTATATATGAATGCGCGTATGTAGATATGTGTGATTTGAAATTACACTTTTGCCACATTTCGTTTAATTGTTCGCATTCGGCTGCAATTGTGGATGATTGTTTAGCGCTTCTATTATTGCGCCAACCCACTTGGCCAATAATTGCGACTGCTACTGCCCAAAAATGAATCATTTGAAGAGATGGAATGATGGAAAACTCTGGCCAACTCTGGATCGAGATACATAATTTATATTCAATTAAGTTCGTTTTGGCCATGGGAGCATGCAACGGCAGTGAAGCGTGTGATGGCTGCGGCTGGGCATGAGTCAGAGTCTGCATCGTTAAGAGCATGCCACACGTGGAGAAGGTCTAGCCACTTGATAAGTTACAGACTTACCCTAAATAAACCCCAGCTGAAACATCTGGAAGAGGCAGTAACATTCTGTAATATGTGGTTACCCAGAGAAACCATAATTATCCTCCACATTAGCCCGATAGCTCTGAACACTTGGCGACACCTTACCAGCCTTGCCGCCGACCCCTTGCATTTTCACTACACATTTATTTGGTTTGCATCTTGAGTTTACATTGAAAGCTCTACATGTGTACAAAAATCGATAAATAATTCAAGGCTTGTATTTGCGCCCCAGCATGTAAGTGTTCCAGGTCCCACGAGGCTCGTCCTTCGTCCTTCGACTGGATATGGTATAAAATATATAATTTGCGTTATAATTGCTCTAAAATACGTGGTTTGTTGAAGGGGAGTCGTTGCAGAGGGGTGTAGTTTGGGGCTTTGCACGGTGGCTCCTTGGCATTCGCTTTCCAGGCACAGACCATCCATCAATCCATCAAGTCCGCCGGGAGGCGCTCACTTGAGCTGCACCAGCACCATGAAATAGGTGACAACGGCGCCCAGGACCTGCAATGCATGCGATGAGGATTTTAATGTATTTGTTACCTTATTTATTTTCCAATCGAGTGGAAGTAAAATCCAAATCGAAGAACGTACCGAGGCAAACAAATCCAGCGAGACGGTAAAGAACTTGGCACCCGATATGCTCATGGCCTTCTGGCACTGCTGGCACACGATCTGAACGAAGGTCTTTGCCTCCTCGGAGCCATCGTACCAGTGGCAGGAGTAGGCGGCCTCCATGACAGATGAGCTCTGTTGCAGGCAGCCTCGAAAGTTAGTTATTCTGTGTGGAATACTCAACCCGACCCACTCACCTCCTCAATCAGCCGATTGCCAAAGATGCAAAAGTGAAACACCTGGGCCAGGGCATAGCCCAAATATCCGACAACAGTAAAGGCGTAGACATTGACTCCGGTGATTTTTGTTGCCTGATAGGCGAGCAGGGTCAGCTTGATGGTCGAGGTCAACATGTGCAGCAGCAGGGCAGCTCCGTAGGTGTCGCCAATGGCAGCCACCAGCCTAGCAAAGAGAGTGGCAAAGGGTTTAGGGAGTGGGTCAATAAGTTGGTCAACAAATCACGAAACTCCTAGACTTTACAAGGCAAACAATTGGAAGGGCAAAGTGCAGCCTCTAGGGTACGAGACGATGCAATCATTCAGCAGAGAGTTCAACGACAAGGATTGCAATTGAGGAAATAATCAAGTAAATCAAATAAACTGCAGCAAGCCATGGGAACGGCCAATGAATGCTCTGAGCAAGTGTGTTTTGTAGTTTAGATAGAGAGATAGACAAACTAGTGAGCTCCAGGAAAGTCGTGGAATAATGCGAAATATCAAATGAAATTGCATTGCACATAAGATAAATGAGATGAGTTATTGAATGTTATAAGAAATATTGAAACTATCACTTAATAAAGTGCCAGTAGAGGGAACAAGTCAAATATTGTAAGCTTAAGCAAATTATATTATTTTTGACTTAGGATGGATAAGTTCTTGGGGACTTGTGTGGATGTTAGAATTATGCCGTCTACTTAAGTTAAAAAACAAAAAAAAGAAGTCAGTTTATATTCTATGTTTCTAGTAAACTTCCTTTAAATGAATTTAACAAAAATTTAAATATTTTGATTTTGGGAAATATAAATAAAATTCATCCAAAACCATTTAGAATTATCAGCGACTCTTCACAACTTTTGACTATCTCCCACCGAATGCAAAACCAATTTCAAGCCCTGAACCACACAACTTATTAAGTGCTCAAAAAGCAATCACTGGACACAGGCACTCCATCTGTCTGTCTGTCTGTCTGCCTGTTGTGCTTCAAACGAAAAATAACAGAAGGCCAGCCGTAATCTAGATGTAAAATATTGCAGAGCTGGACTCACCGCACCACGTGCTTGTGCCGCTCCACCCAGTACTTGATGGCGCTGCGCACCATCATCTCCTGTTTTTTGGTCAGGCCATTGGGATTAGCTCCGTTAGCAGCACCGTTCCCGTTGCCATTGCCATTGCCATTACCATTGCCAAAGGATTGGAGGGTGGTCGGTGCACGAAACTGGGCGCCCCAATCGGCTTTGGAGCTGTAGACGCCGGACATGTCCATGTCGTTGCCGGGATCCTTTTCTGCAATTAAAATCCAGTTGAACAAAGCAATTAGTGGGGATGTGAGAGCGGACACTCACCCTCATTCCGGATGAGCTCGGACTTGGATTGGGCCGAGAGCGATCTGAAGAGAGCAGCCGAATTGGGTCTGTACGTGTCCAGGGAGGCGGATAGCTCCATCAGTGGCTTCATGATGCCCTTCAGATGCTGCAGCTGTTCGCAGGCAAAGATCAGCCAGGAGCAGAACATCACGTCGCACAGGTTCGAGTGAATCATCGAGAAGAGGACATAGTAGACCTGAAGGGCGAAGCTGATCATGTAGAACATGCTATTGAAGGCATTCCATGGATAGAACGACTTAATGGGCAACCGTGGTATTTCCACGGCAATGCTCGAGTTTGTGTCATGGTCAACCACCATCTTTACACTGTCCCCGAAAAAGGTGATGGTGGTCCAGGCAGTGGCCGAGATGATGGTCGTGAGCATCACCAGAAAGAAGAGTTTCCGCATTTTGCCCAAAGCAATCGAGTGATAGCGGGCATCCGATTCGGCGAACAACGGATGAGAGTTCACCTGATTCCAGATGTTCAGAGTTCTGCAAATGAATGACATTAATGGTCTGGGGAATTCCTATCTCTCTCCAAAAAAAGGGACCACATTCACCTGTAGAAATTCTTTTGATTGACAGCCAAATATATAAATTTGGTGATGCAATGAGTAAAGAACAATGCGGTAATCGTATTCCCCGACAATTCATTGACTTCCTCTGAATTCAGAGCCATATTAACCAGAATGAAGATGAATTGCATCAGCAACACGACCATATGAACCGAAGAGTACACCTTCTTTATGAACCCGCTTCCTCCGGTGAAATTGTGCATGAACAGGCCCGAGTACTTCATGGCCCGAATATTGGGCATCAGATCGGCCACGAGGCCCGTATACTTGCTGGGCTGCATTGGCGTTGTCATCCTGTCAGCGACGGAAGACAACCGGCGAAAATCAGAGACGTAATTAATTGGGTTTTCGCCAATTTAATTAGCAATTATTGCAAATGGATTAAGTGGGCTGAATGGAAATTCAGTGCTGGGGAGTGTCTTTGGGGCTTTGTCTGATGTCGTGGGACAAAGGAAAAAGCCAGTCCCCAAATTTATTCGATTTCGCATGTTTTATTCATGCCAAAAGACCGATTGATTCCGTGCTATAATTTTGCTGTTCAATGGATAGCCAGATTTGTGTGTTTCTCCACCAGATTCATTGAGCCATATTATCGGTTAAGCTCTTGAATAATTAAAATCGGAAATGCAGCCAGAATTAGTGGATTTTTTCCGAAAAAAGTCATTGATACTCTTGAATATTCGCTTTCATAGAAATTGAATGAAACTTAAATAAAATAGATTTGAAAAGAAAATAATCGCATCTTAAATAAGTAATTAATAAAAGATATTACGAAGGGCTTTCCAAACATAGAATTATTCATTTAGTAAATATTTAGGATTGAAGAAGCGTAAATCTTTATCTTCGTTTTTTTTTTTTTAATTTTCTATACATATTTTTAAATTTTATCTTTCTGTACCTGATTATCTGATTTTCCGAATACATTTTATGGGAAATTTTTTTTTTTATTTATTATGAACCGTGAGTATTCATCTATACCATTAAAATTAAGATATTTTCAAGGTTTTATCTCACTGATTCTTTTATATGGCTTTTTGAAATCTAATGATAATTCCTTCGAATGTTCAAAACTATTAAATCGTTTTTAAATTTGAGGAAATCCATTAAAAATCAATAATAAACTCAAATAAAAAAAATATATATATAATACTGAAACAAATACTCAAAACAGTTTAAAACATAAATTTTAAATTTATTTACCTTGCAGTTTATTTAAAAAAAATTAAAATTTAATTGTATTTAAGTTTCTTAATATTCTTAAACAGTTTGCTGCACTTTTAGGCAAACATTTCACACACTGGTACCACTTTCAAAAAGTTATTGAAATTAAGTTCTGTTATTATTTTGTTTCAGAGAGACCGCAACGAGAACAAAGTTAACCTGCCAGCAAGGCGCCGTCGACGTTAATGAAATGTGAAATCTGAAAAGTTAACAAGTTTTGCTCCTCTTCCGCTGAGGGTTGCGGTCATTGGTGCTGTACATAAAGACGTGTACTTTGAGTGGAGAGTTCCCACGGTTGGGTTAAGGCCATGTCCCTCACACATTGGTAATGAAAATATATAGTTCGTTTCCTTGGCTGAAAAGTTGAATTTTTAAGCACTCCTAGGCCGAGTAGTATATAGACCAAGTCTGGCTACGTGGTGTGTGCGTTCCCACAATTAAATCGAACGGCCTCAGACCTGTCGCCGCCGCCGTCTCCAGGTCCATCTGTCTGTGTGTTCAGAGGGGTTTGGGTCTGTCTCTGGCTCAAGCTTGAGTCAACGTCAACGCGGCGTATGCGCAATGTGGAAATGGAAATGGGATATATGGAAATGCGAGGCTTCTCCGGCTACGGCTTCGGGTCTGACTGTGGCTCTGGTGTAGCATCTGTGGTATCCAAACTTATGCAAATTTTAAAAGCATCGATTATTTTATTATGCCTGTGTGTGTTTGTTGGTCGTAAGTGCCGGCCAGAAGGTGGGTGTTGTACTCTCCCTGGCAGACACCCGTCCTGTGTGCCACAGATGCCCCTCTCCAAATTGCTGACCTAAAAAAAGGAAAGAAAAAAGTAACATGTATATATTTGCATGGAAATGTGTGGGCTCGTGGCCCATGGCTGGTGGCTCGACCTGATGGATAGTTCACGGTTTTGCTGCTAGTTCGAGTGTACTAAACCTCAATGGGTTCAGCCAGGCAGCGAACTCAAATCAAATCTCCTGGGCAGAGGGAGAGAGGCCACAAATTGAGAGGTTTTGGTAGCTGAACTACACGAGTTTTGCAATTGGAAATGCTAAAATATTTGGAGGATATTTTAAGAGTGAATTTTTATTTTTAAATGTTTGTAATGGTGTATCCAGTATATTTAAATTATTATTTTAAACCTTTTTTTGTTTACTTTTATCAGGAAAAAACTAGACACACCCAAAGAATGTAAAGAATTCACCCACCCTGTATTCAATTTATTCCTGGCCCAAATGGAATAAATACAATTGGACATAGTAACACAAATTAGAGAACGGAAAGCACAAAACAACTACAAGTATTGGCCAACTGGCATTCATGTGTGGTGGACGCACATCCTAAACTAGTTTTAACCAACATTAAAATGTTGACGGCGACGTGTTTAAACGCTGACAAAGCACTTACCAATACGCTTTTCGATTTTAGTTGCAAATGGTCAGGATGTAGTGCTCTGGCAGCTAGTTTACCCTCCAATTCAGATGGCGTTCAATACACTGAATGTACGGGTATACACGTATGTAAAAGCTCTCAAACACGCATCCGAGGCCCTGCCTGGCTCATGGATTATTCAAATGCTGAGATCTCACGCACACCAATTAAATTGTGAATACCCCTATGTACCGTTTACACTCGTACATACGTATATGTGTGTGTGTATGTGTTTTTTGTGGGGGATTTAACAATATTGATTCAACATTTAATTGGCCCTGCCAGTGAGCCGATTTCAGCCATGTTAACCAAGTTCCCCCATGAAATTTTCGCCATTTTTTGTTCCCAGATTTCCTCATTTTTGTTGGCTGTTGATTTATTTTTATGGTCTTTGGACTGAAATTTTAATTACACAGATGCGTTTGCCTCAATTAGCTAACCGCGGAAGTCGTATCTGGTCTCGGCCATGTATCAACATTAATTATTTAACAAATATAAATGCCCAGTGGCCGTACATTTATTTACAATTTCAATTAATTCAATGGGGTGTAATTTTTGGTCTTTTGCATTGATTTAAATACATTTTAGTAGCTATATTGCAAATTATATTTGACAGTAAATCCTTTTTAAAGCTTTTAGAAAATAGTTCAGAAAATGGTGGTGGACTATGTCCCCCTGTCTCCGTAAATTTTCTCATAAATCCAAGGTATTCATTATCTACTTATCTTTAACCATTCAATATACCTTTAATATCTGTTTCCTTGTCATGTGTAGAGTATATTAAATTATTATTAAATTATTTTCTCATCAATTTGAAACAGAATAAAGTCCCGAAAGTTCCCTTCAAATGTATAACATTGAAATGATGTTCCCATCAGGAATACAATTCATCACAAAAGAACCTTCACCCATTCCAATCTTTAATCCTTAAAAATGCCACCCAAACGTAGGCAACGCTTTTTGTTCTCACTTACTCAGTCATAAATAAGAACCACATTTAAGCGCAAAACGAAAGGCTGACTGGCACCCATGTGTGCCGCCGTTAGCCCCCACCAAAAGCCACAAACAGCAGCATATGACATGCCACAAGCGTCGGCAAAAACAAAAACCACACAGGCGGCCACAACAATAAAAACTCAAAAATAAACATAAAAAAATTATTTGCGCAATCCATCAAATTGCTCATAAATTACGAAATCAATGCGACACAAGCACATACACTTGTATATATCTACATACATATGTACTTATATATGTATGAAAGTATGTATGGGGGAACAGGAACACCACCGAAGAATGGGCAAATATGTGGCATTAAGGCCGACGAAGGAAAAATTAGAAATCAATAGCTAGAGCAAGGGGAGCAAAAATCTGTTAAATGACAAACAAACAAAAAATGGCCAAAATAACAATTGTGGGACTGTGTGCGTGAAGGTCCTTCCCTCTTTCTGTCTCACTGTGTGTGTGTGGGTATGAGTTCGTGTGTCAGCATCAGAAATTATCCGCTTTATTTTTGGACCACACATAGCCATAGGTCGTCCTGCCCTTCCACCCAACCTAAGCGAATCTTCAACCAAAATTTATGGCCATGCATAGCAAAAGAAGGATGAACAACAGCGAACCGATTGAAAATACATAAGTACAAGTGTGCGTACGTATCTGTGTGAGAGTCTGTGCGCGTTTGTGTGTGTGTTTGTCCTGCCATTAGAGAAAGCAAAAAGAAATGTTGACATTGTCATAAGAATGGCAAAGAAATGTGAGAAATGCCAAAGGAACAAACCAACGGAGTGGCACATAAAAAGCGCAAAAAATGTATTATTATTATTTATTTCGTAGCTGTGAAAGATTTTTGGGGTGCCATAGAAAGGTGATGGGAGGTCATAAATTGTAGCAGAGAAATATATATAATGTATATAATAGATAAATGTGTGTGCTTTGGCGAGTGTCACTCCTTTTGTTGGTCGCTGACAGGCAGACAGATTCAAGCAGGAAGTGGCTGTGGGCGAGAAGCAGGAAATGCCTCTGTGGCTCCCCTGCTGCGACAGTGTCAAAAGTTTAGCATTCGATTTATTTGTTTCCCCCCTATAGGTATTGCTACGATATTACTTGCTACAGATAAATCTCTCCAATGTCTAAGCGGGTCAATGCTCAGGTCACTGCTTGGGCAGCTTCTTAGCCCAGAAAGCCAATGCATCTTCAGTTCACTTGTCTTTTATCCTTCTCACATTGCACTAACCATCGCTTAGGCCATCCTCTCAGACCATCCCTACGATACCATCCCATGTTGTCGGCATATTGTCCGTGTGTCTGTGTTTGTTTGTTGCCTGCCACAGAGTTGTCAACGCGGCAACTAAACGAGTTTTGGTCCTGTGGTGGTCTATATATATACGAGTATGTGCACATCTATATATATTTGTTGTTAGGCATTTCATTGTTTGTCCCTCTGCTGAAAAATTCGAAGTTGTTTTGGTGGACAAAGCGCATGTGCGGAGAGAGAAGCTCAAGAGAGAAGAGTACACCCAGTAGAAGAGATTTTATGAGAGATTTTTATAGGCTGCCATCATGTCTGAAATTATATAAAAAAAAATAGTTCCTGAAGTGTAAATAAAGAATAAATGGGAATAATCTAAGAGATAATTATTTGTATCATCTATCCACCATATGTAATTAATTATTTATTCTGGAAATAATTTCTGTTAGTGTTAACATGTGTTAACATTTCAGCACATCTTCATATCCACATCTCCATTTGAACATCTTCCAAATCTATTAATAATCTGGCAGCACTAACCACTCACGTGCGTTACGCGCCTGCAAATGCAACAAAAGAAAGGTTCTTGCAATACCGTCTCTCTTTCTGTTTTAGTTTCTCTCTTGGTGGCTCTCTTTCTCTGTCCGTTTGTTGAACTATCTCTCATTTTTGCAAAGATTTCTCCAGGAATCGAGCAGAGACAACAGCAGCCACCAATTGTTCTAAGATCTCTGCTTCGTTCCGCTCTCTTTGGGTCGGTCTTCTCTCTCTTTGCTCAGCTCTCTGAACCCGCTCTCTGCTTTCTGTTCGCTTTTGGCCAACAACGAGACGAGGACGACAGACAGGCAGCAGGCAGGCAGCAGGCAGCAGGCAGACTTCGATTTGAAGCCAGTCAAAAATGGTCCATCGACGTGAGATGAACATTAGCAAGAGCATCAGTCGACAGCAACGTCCACGGAATCGCAATCGCTGCCAAAAGCCAGTGCCAGAGCCAAAGCCAGAGCCATTCGAACCGGGCCAAATCTAAGAGAACGTGTGTGTGTGTGTGTGGGAAATAGAAGTGCTTGTGTAAGTGTTGGTGTATCTTTGTGTTGTCCAAGAAGAGGCTGCTCTCCAACTCACCTTTATTCGGGTGTGTGTCCATTCCTTTGGCATTGGTGCTGCTGCTGCTGGTTCTGCTGTAGTTGTTGCTGCTGCTTGTTAGTGTTAAAAGCATGCAGCACCATGGGGCACGAGCCATGAGGCGTGAGGCATGAGTGCGCCAAAAGAATTATCAGTGCTGCAGACATACACACACCCATTCAGGAGTGGCTACAAAAAAAGGCAAGCAACAGAAATGTCATTTGAATAGTTAACGCAAAAGAAAGAAACAGAAAATACACTTGGGACTCTGCCTCGCTTGCCTCTCTGCTTCTGTGTGTGTGTGTGTTCACGGATTTATGCAGCGTTAGTTACATAAGCTATCATCATCATCGGCAGCAGGAGCAGCATGGGCTCAGCAGCAGCCGCAGCAGTAACATCAACAACAACAGCAGCACACAGCCAGAGGCATCGTTAGCATCCGCAATGCCGCTTTTCGGCGCACATAAGTATGCTATGATTTCTGTTCGGTTTTTGAGCAGCAAAAGGATGCTGTGCGTTGTGCCGTGCCGCCAATACAGCTTCAACAGCTACAATGAAAATCGCATTAGCATTAGGATGTGATAACAGCTGCTACCCAGCTCCAGACAGCCCCATCATCAGCTGCCAGCCGCATCCGACATCCAGCAACAAGCAACGACAGCATTTGGCTTGAACCTGAACCTGCAATTACCAAGGCAACAATTGTTGTAAAAAGTTTGGATAGCGCATACGCACTGTTGCACTTTGGCAAAAATGGAGAGATTCTATAGGCAGGCCCCTGCCCCCCCACAATGATTGCTATTGTGTGTCAAGGGGTTGTCCAACAATGGCTGATGCGTTTAAAGTTGGTTTTACCTGGAATTCAATTCATTCATAATAATATATGCAGGGATACCTAGAAATTGTCGAAGCAAAACACTCCAATTATTTTTAAATGTGTGTCACCCGATTCCTACAGGAATTCAGGGCTTGCCTTTCGGCCACATTTTGTACGGAGCTTGAATTTGGTTTGTTAATAATTGTAGAAAGAATATATATTTATAATTCTGATTATATTTTGTTGATTACAAGTTCAACAGTTACATGCAGCAGGATCGAGCACACATTTAGTTTCCACTTAAAGAAAGTGTTTTTAAGTCAAAATTATGAAAGTCCTTTCTTCTATGTCGCGCTGTCTGCCCTTATTACAAACAGAGATGAATCGTTTTTAATTAGCTGACAGTTAAACAGCTCTCCACCCACATAACAGCCGAAATCGAACCCAAATTCCTGCTCAACCGCAGTGGCACATGCCTTCAGGTTCACGTTAAGGAATTCACCAAACCACTGGCATACGACGAACTCCTCAAATCAGCTGCAGCCCTTATCGTCATTCGTTGATGTGGCACTTGCTCCCCCTTCTGACATTCATTGCTACTTTGACCAACTTACTGGCCTGCCCCCAGGTGGCAAGTTGGTCAGCCACTTCCATTTGCAGTTGGGAAAGTGCACGATTTTACCCATTTTTCCCCCACAATCAGAAGGGAAGCTCATTAAAAGCCACAGCCATATCAGAAATGAGCTGAAAGTTTGCCGGAAAAGTGGGTAAAGTGTGAGGGAGAAGCGCAGGGCGAAAAGCAAATGAGCAGAGCCCGGCACCCACACAGCATGTGGGCTTGTGGCGTCTGTGTGCGTGCTGGGGCGTGGCAAATTAGGGCAACAGCCAGTACAGGAAGAAACATGATAAGGTCTTGAAAATGTGGCCACAAACTTCATTGGCAAACGGCACACTGGCCATCAAAAGTGTGTAGAACAGAATGTTGTCCATACTCTCATCGAGAGCATAATCGTTTTGATCAGCTTGTGGCATTTTCCGCACCATAATGTATATTTAACTAAAACATTTAATAGATCCCATTTTGGGATCACTTCACCCAATATATATTAAACGGAATGCCTCTGCAAGGGTATCCACTGCTTCGGCTCTCAAAATTGTATCCCTTTCTATTATATTTTCTATTATTGTTGGGGCGTCAGCAGCTGTGCAAAATAAACCGCAATTAAATTTGCATTAGCCCATAAAAACAAAGGAAGAGTGGCCACTTGTTGTAGTTGCTTCATCTAACGATTGTTGCTGGCTGTCATTGTCTCCGCTGCTAATTACTAGAGTTTTACCCCACCCACCCACACAACAGCAGAAGGGGATTAAAAAACAATAGAAAATGCGAGGACTGTAAATGCCTTTACAAAAGTGCCGTGCCACCACAAACATATGTAAAAAATAGAATCTAGAACGAATATCAAAAGATATTATGTAAAGGCCAACATGAGAGGAAAGCAAACATCAGCAGAAACATCCGCAACAGCAGCATCACTGAAATAAAGTCAACAGCAACATACCGGAAAAGTTCTGAAACTGAAATAAGCTAAGAGAAGGAAAACGAAATACAAAAATCATAATGATGATGGATTAACTGTTCCGTAGTGTTGTTGTTGTGGGAGAGAAAAGAGAGAGAGAGAGAGAGTGAGAGAGTGAGTGGAAAAGCGGAAACGGAAGCAGAAGCAGCAGCAACATTGCAACACAAACAAAAATCAGGTTAGTTCTTGTTACACTTCAAAGTCCATGTACTAGTCCTTCTCCCTGCTGTTCTTACTGATTATAGATGGTTTTTTTTTCATGTTCTTTCTGTTCTTTTTTTTGTTGTCATGGTCCACTCAGTGGTTGACCAAAGTTTGTGTAAATCATTATTTATGCATTAATTATTGAAATACACAAGGCAGAGGCAGAGGCGGAGGCGGAGGCGAAGCCAGTCTCCTGTCAGCAGCTGTGTGGAAGAGTCATTAATCTTGGACAGCTTACTACCCAAAGGTGTGTGTGTGTGTGTGTGGGCGCTAGTACTTGTACATAGGAAATTACGACCGAAGTTTGGGCACCAATGGGAGAAAATTTAATTGAAAGTTGGTCTGGCAGATGCAAAAATTCCTTGAAGCGAATTCCATTGGAGAAATCATGAGAAATTCTAATGACTGCAGCAGGAATTTCAATTCCAAGCAGAACAACTTTGCACAAATCGCAAGTGGAATTGACAGAAGGATTTTGGCCACATTTTGGAAATCAGTTTGGCCTTCAATTCCAGCTGAAATTGTTTGTGGAACTCATAATTGCTTTCGGTTTGGGCGAAATTCCACCCGATCTGTAAGGGGAAATTATCTTTGTCTTGTTTGAGTTGAATTCATGCCTGTTCAGAGCCATGTTCAATTCAGGGCCAATTCAGTGATGAGAAGGATGAGAAGGATAATCATATTCCAGTCATGTGGCACAACCAGAGAACGTCACTCTTGTCCAGGACTCATTAGCTCAAATGACTTGTGAATCATATGCGAGTGTCATGAATTTCCATTTGAATGGAGAGAAACGAAAATTGCTAGTACGTGATGAACAAGAGATGAATGCGAAAGTACTCGTGAATAGCGGGAAGGAGGTTTAGGAGGAGACATTGCAATTCTGAGGCAATGATATCCGTAATATTGTGAGTCCAATTAAATTAAACTTCGTACTGCCTTATTCCACTTTAATCTCATTATGCCACTAAATGTATAATTGCTTGGGGCTAGTCCTTGCGTTGCCACCATTTTCCGACTGCATTTCCACATTTTCTTCGGAAAGTTCTACTGGGCGACGCATGTCGTCGCTGCAGGACATCGCAAAACTTTCTTAGAAAGAAACAACTTTTCCAACAGAACTAGAAACTTCTGGCTTGCCGAACGAATGTTTCGTTTTATGCACTTGCTGGGCAAAAGTTGTTTTCCTCAGGACACCCTTTTGGATTAAATCGCATTGAAGAGAATGAAAAATAATAAAAACACGCTCAGGAGTTTTCCTTTTTGATAAACAATTCAAACACAAGGCTCAGACGGGCACACAGACAGCGAACACACGCGAACACACGACTGTAAGTGCAATTACATTTTGGGGGCCAACAGAAAAACTTTCCATTTAGACGGCCGAAAGACAAAGAGTTGAGTCAGGAAGTCCACACTCGGTCTGTTACGTTACTCATACTTCTTACCTCGGGATGCAGGGCATGACATGGGCTCGTTGTGGCACCCTGTAATTGTGGGGTATATATTTTAATTGAAGAGGCAGCTGGCTGTAATTTAGCAATACGACCCAAGATCTAAGTCAAAAATAGGCTTGAAGAATTCTGTGAAAGATTTTTAGCCTCTGCTAATAATTTAAAGATGCAGAAAAACGATACTTGTCCAGACATGATATTCATTTTTCATAAATATAAATATTACACCTTCGTATTACATTTCCGTAGCTTTCCCTCTCAATGTGATGGCATTTATTTGAATTTTTCAAACATTTCCCATTTATTTTGAATCATTTTCGAGTGATATGTAGTATAGGGTATTTCCTATTCGTAACACTCATTCCTATTGGTATTTACTGTTCTGCAATAGCGTGCGTGCGTACGTGCTTCTTGTGTGTGTCCGTCCTAGGTCCTGGCACCGTGCCTGGCATTAAATGAATTTCTCAATGAAGTCATCTTTAGCCCCATTCTTATGCCCCTTTACCATGCAATGATTCGCCCGCTCCGACATCCTTTGAGACCCCATTAAAAGCGTCTGTACCCTGCAGTCTCCAGTCCCCTCGTTTACGTCCCCGCCTCCCTACCCGTCTCGTCTGGTGCGTGTTTGTTTCTGTAATTGTAGTTGTCTCGTAAATTACAGTTTTTGTCAGAGCTCTTTGTCTCGCTTATTGTGCAGCAGTTTGAAAATTGAAATAGACATGCAAAATGGCTGACTCGACTGTCTGCTGTCGGCAGTACGTATATATCCTGCCGTATCCAGCCGTTTCCTTTACCAGCCCTCTCCCCCTGTGTTTGTATTTGCATTTGAAATTATACTGTCGCTAGTTTGTTTGCCAAAAGACCAGGTCAGGTGAAGCTTTTAAAGTTATTAATTCGGAAAGAGGCAAACAATTTTCGTGGCAGGAAAAGCATCATCATCATCATCATCCTCCTCCTGCTGCTGCTGCTGCATGTGGGTTTAGCCAGATGCATTAAATGAAATGAAAAGTCTGGCTATCACTATCAATGGCCATGCTTCGTATGCAAATGTATCCTCCTATATTGAGTAACGAGTCTGAAGGATATTAGGATACTCGTAAATCAAAAGCCTCTTAGCAGCTTTCGATTGTATAACATTGTAAGCCAATGCAATTGAGCCAAAGCCAAAGCTCGTTAAGGAGATTATGGGGTTATGGGATTATGGCAACTGAAAACACCTGTCCAAGACACTGTTTCCGTTTCGCTCTCGCTGGCACACAATCAAAGACGTATTCAACGCGCATATCCAATTATAGCCACGTCAGCTTGGGCACACAACATTTTGGCCACCTCTGTCATTAACCTGGTCGAAAGGCGGTCCGATCCGGGCCCGAGTCTGCCTTCTGGCACATTCTCAGACATTTCCCATTAATAATGCAACTATTTTGGGGGAACCTGCAGCAGCTGTCTCAAGCGCCTTGCCTTCTCTAGCTAAACTTTCGAAATTTCCAATTTAAATATGGCATAAAAAGGGAAATAGGATATCCTAAATGAGTATCGAAGGAGAATTAATTGCCAACGATATCGCCAGGGTCCGACAATCAAAGGCAATTAACCGGACAAAGGCCCAAAAGCAGCTTAGGGGTATTGAATGTCACCCATCCTTTGTCCTAAAAGCAGACACCTGCCCTTCCATTACTCATCCCCCCAAAGATCTTAACTAATTTCAGCTATGCGTCTCCTTTTTTTCCTGCCTTCACATAGGCAAAAAGGAGTGAAACTCCTTAAATGTTTGGGCAATTAAAAAGGGTCGTTCGCTGGCCTAGAAAAAGAAAAGGCAGCAGCTCGCCCCTACAAGGAAAGAAAGCGTGGGGCAGTAGCCATTTTTGTTAAATGTTAAAATGGCCGTTGGCAAATGTGTTTGTCAGAAGAAAGGGTATTGCTGGGACATGGGATTGCTCTGAAAGACTTATCCTAGATTAACGATAAAGAGCCACGAATTAAATTCCAGATAAACCTTTAAAAGTATTTCCTTACCTTATAATTGTTTTTTTTTAGCCTTTAACTTACATTTAAGGTGGATTCAAGACACGGCTTTCAGCAAGACGAGATATTTCAGAACATATTATAAAATAAACAATTAAGTTAATCAACAAATAGCTAATCTAATATCCAATCCGAAAGTAGAACGTCACAATGGTACCACAAAGTCCATCATCTACTCGATACCCCTTTCACTCCGCTATAACAAAACTTCGCGTTCTTTGCTTTTGGCATTTTGTTTTGCCAGCTCGTTCTTTTCGCTCTCTTTGCCGCAGTTTTTGTTTGCCTGAAAATTGGTTTAATGGCCAAGCGCTTTGGCTAACGCACACACACACACATACAGCTATATAGCCAGACATATACAGGCACATATTGAGGCAATTTGGTGGGAGCTAAGCCCTTCCCCCCTCGCCCATGTCCAGCACGCGACATTCTATCTCTCTTCCGCTGTCAAAGAGAAAAACTGCTGTGGCTGCGGCTACTGGGCTACTAGAGGGAAAATAAATAAATAAAATGAAACAAGCTTAACAACAACAACAGCAAAGAAAAACTTTACACAAAACTTTTGTGAAATGTTGTTGCTGTAATTATTGTATTTGTTGCTTTTTCGAGTGGCTTGCGGCCTGATAGATGTGTCAATAAAATCAATATTTGCCCCTGCCTTTGCGACTAAATGTTCAATTAGCGCATCAATCAAAGACGCTTGAACGAATCAAAGGGAATGCCGTTTGTGTATTCAAGCCAAGCCACTTGATATCGTGGGCGGTCTTATGATGATTTACTCGTAGCAGTGAATATTAACTGATGTGATTAACCCGCAAATATTTGACTAATTAGCTAATAAGTTAAGCACACAGCCAGGCCAAAATCGTTGTGTACCCAACAGATTGAGTTCAGCTAAGCAGGCAAATGTGGCCAAGAAATTATTCTCGTAATTGTGGTCTTGATTAAGTGGCAAAGTAAATTGTATGCGGGCTATATTCAAATTGTAATCAACGTAGTCGATGGGTAAAAGGGCATGTACACATAATGTTTTGAAAGTATCTATGTATGTATTAGAAATGCACTTGGGTTTTCTTTTTGCTTTAAGCGTCTTGTTGAATATTATTTTCCCCATAAAATACACTGCTTAGAGATCATTCCACGAAGTAGCACATGTTATAGACTGCCGTTCCTCTACTTCATTTAATGAAACTCCCAATATCATTCCTTGGCACTACAAAGATGTATAGCCAAGCCATTGTATCATCATCATCTGCAATCAACATTATTTCTGATTCACACAAACACACACACACACACAAATCCTGATTCTCTTTGTGCAAGAGAAAGCTGCTTTCCTTTCCGCAAAGCAATAACAAGTGTAATGCATTTGTCGGGGGCTGCCTTTGGGAGTCCCTTGTACTTAATCAAATGAATGGACCGACCGACCAACCGAACCACCAGAGACCAGAGGCCTCAACAGGATGCACCGCCCATGATGCGATTTCAGCTGCATTAACAGCAGACGGCAGACCGTAGATGGGATCGGGATGGAATTGAGATGTGTGTGACAACGAGAGCAGCCACGACACAAAGCCAAAAGGGCAATTGCAATCATTTATGCACATTTAATCATACGCCACATGTGCCGCGGCCCTAGTGGCAGTGTCTGCTTATCGACAGCGCGGAGGGTTCTCCTCTCTCTCTATCTCTCTCTCTCTCTTAGTCTCAGTCTCGCTCTGCGCCCTGAGTCCTGGCCATGGTAATCATTTGCCATGTTGACTGATTTGCAACAGCAATAGCAACAGCTGCTGGTGCTGATGCTGCTGACCATTCATTACAACAAAGAGCAGAAACAGAAACAGCAACAGCCAAGAAACATGGCCACAAAGTCGCTTAAAGTTATGCAATGGAATTTGCCAACTGTATGTACGATCCCAGGGCTGTATCTGTGAGTGTTGAGTGTGTGCCGGTGTGTGTAAGAGAGTCCGGAGAATGCTGGTGTGTGAGTGTTAAGTGTGCTGGTGTGTGTGAGTGTGTGCTGCTTAGTGATTTGTGTATTTGTGTGCCCGCCTGTGAGTGAAGGCAAATTTATGACTTCATTTATATGGTAGAGCCCAGCCCGGGTCCCCACACGGGTTTATCTGCCAGTCCCCGACATTATATACCCATAAACAAGTGCCCCCTGTACAGGGTCTCCTTTCTGAATAATAATTCACTGTGCATTTTTTAACACATTTTCAATTATTTAATGTATGACAGAGAAGACAAAGTTCTGGCACTGAAGGCAATTGCTTATTTTTAGAAATATGCGTATGATTAAATTATACTCATATGAAGAAAAGGGTCCGTTTTTTCTTTAAAGAAGCCAAGAGGTTTTAGAATATTTTATTTAAATTTATTAGACATCTACAAAACGTTTTTGTTATCGACTGTGTCAAGAAGAACAGCCGATGATACTCGTATTTAGTTCATAGTTTTTAAAGCACCCTTTTTTTTTAGTACGAGTATCCCCTTAAGAGTAATTTCCCCCACAATATTGTGGGCTCGACCCTTCCCATAATTATCAGTCGATTGAAGTGTATATTTAATTGCCAGCAATAAAAGGACAGCGATAAAACATTTCGGTTTGCATTCGGAATTTCGGAATAATCTTAAATGGTGGCCACACAATAAACATTTTGCTCACATGCATTTGAAATTTAATTGGGTTACGCTCGTATCTATATTTGGCCACAAGGCGCAAACATTTTCCATGTTCTAATGCTCCAATGGCATGATTTACTTGTTGATTAAATTATAATTAATGGCCAACGTCCTATTTGTGCAATTTAATGGCCAGAAAACACCTAAAATTAAGTGTAATTTATTGAATGAGACATCAAAGCAGTCAAGGGAAATACAATTCTAGAACAATACTCTACATAACAGAGTTTAAATGAATTCCAAAAGTTTTTTCACCGAACATCACACACTGTGAACACAAAAACAAATTCGAATTTTCAAGTTAAAATTCAAAACTCTTAGAACAATGTCTACGTCAGTATTTCTATTTCGATAGTGATTACTTTTTAACTCTTTTTAATGTTTCCTATACTCTATACTCTTCGAACTTCTGAAATTGGATGGCTACGTTAGCTTTGAAACAATAATAGAGCGAATGGAGTATGTTGCCGGCTATCGTATGAATAGATTCATCCGAAACAAGATTAAAAGTCCCTAGATATTGGCGTACATTTTGGATTTATGCAACGCGAAGGTTCCCTTTACTATGTAGAACCTTTGCCTGAACTTACTCTACAAAAATTGATTGATAGGATCGTGCTCGATCTATCGAGATGTTCCCCCCGTTAGGCATTCAATCTGAAACGGTATTAAGACTTTCCTCGGAGGCCGATTGACTTCCTTTAGTTTATCTACTAATTTATTTGTTTTCAATTACACTCGCTCTAGAATCCCAAGCGTCGTTCGCTCTTGCTTAAATCGGGAAAAGAATACAGATAATTTTCAACAGAAAATCTTTTGATAGTGCCACTTGTAATATGTAATAATCCCATTAGAGCCATTCACACAGATATTCTTTGGCCACTCTGCCGAAACCCACACTCGCATCGACTGGCATCGCCTCTCCTCATTGACCCCCAAATTGCACAATTTTCGTTAACTGCCCAATTTGAATGTCACCGAAGTTCATCGAGGAGCCATCATTGGGGACCGCATGCCCATTCCCGAGGGCCAGGGCTATCCATAATGTGTCCGCTCATACGGTCAGTGGCAACTTATAAATAAAACACAGATTTGTAGCAATTTTGCCCCAGTGGCGAACGAACAAAAAAAAACCAAAACTTAATTTGAAATGCGGGAAACCAAAAAGAGAACAGAGGGAACAAAAAGAGTAAAAACGAGAAGGAACGTGTGAGTCGCTTCTGGGGACGCGACTCTACTTATACCCGTACTCAGTCAGTATATACATTTTTGAGCTCATGATTTTTAAGAATTTAAGAAAAAAAAAAAATTTTACATTTTACATTTTTTTGCTACATATGATATCTAGATCTACATATACAATGTATATTCTACATCTAACATGTAGATTGTACATGTACCATTTATATTCTACATCTCCTCCGCTAGGGGTTGCTCGCGCACTGAACGCGGCAGAATGTGCGAGCGAGAAGGAAAATGAGATGCGTTGTCGTTGGTGGGAGGGGGAGGGGAAGCAACTGAAAATTAATTTCTTCATTCTGGCTATAATTATGATCTGATCTAGTTCATATTTGGCAATCTGGTAGATATGGGCATTCTCTACGATACTGCGTTTTTAGTTTTATCGTATCTTTAAAATTGTGCCTGCCACAGATTTTCGTCCTTTGTGAGGGCGGAAGGGGGCGGGGCGAAATTCTGAAATACACTTGTAGCAGTGTGATATCACATAAGTCTGGAAACCAAATTTGGTTTCGCTAGCTCTTATAGTCTCTGAGATCCAGGCGCTCATCGAGACGGACAGACGGACAGACGGACGGACGGACGGACGGACGGACGGACGGACGGACGGACAGACAGACATGGCTATAACGACTCGGCTATTGATGCTGATCAAGAATATATATACTTTATGGGGTCGGAAAATTTTCCTTCTCTGCGTTACACACATCCACTTTTACCACAAATCTAATATACCCCTTAACTCTTTTTTGAGTACGGGTATAAAAAGAAGGGACATTATTGGGGCGTCGGAGCTTTAGATACCCTTAAAGATTCATCGTTGCTGTGGAAGGTACATACATATATTATATATGAACATATATTTGATATAGTAAAAGTCTGAACTCAGGTTGATCAGCACTTCCATCTCTGCCTTTGGTGAATTATAATACCCACATGTTCAAAGGGTATGAATAAAACCAAAAGCCTGCAAATATTTTTACGCTCCAGCGCGTTATGTGTGTATATGTGTGGTGTAAGTATGCTGTGAGAGTGTGTGGGAGATGGTGGATGTTTGTGTGTGTCTGTGTGTGTGCTGGGATGGGATGGGTGTACCATTAGGCATGCATTCAAGTTCTCGGGAGACCATGTGTCTGTCTGTGTGTGTGTGTGTGTGACTCCCAAGTCGCTGCTTAGTCAGAGGAACAGAGGCTGTCAAATGGGCTTGGCAGCGTCTAGGTCTGCCCAAGTAAGGGAAACCAAGTTATTTATAGATTTATGCACACTCACACCCTATACTCCAGGACCTACTGCTCCTCCCCCAACATCACCATCACCATTCCCATCATCATCATCGCAAAGCCAGAGCCGGAGCCGGAGCCGTAGCCAGAACCGAGCCTTTGGGCAAGAATCGCCTTTGGGCCAACAAATAGTTAACTCTACAGCTGTGTGGGTGTACATATGTATATCCCTCTATAGTCATCTGTATGTGTGTGTGTGTGTCCACATTATTGCAGCGCGACTAAGCAAACTACTTTGCCTGTGGCTCTGGGGCTAGTTCTGACCTTATTTCCTTTCAAGCAGCTCAGGGGGAATCTCTCTTATCCTCGACTCATGTCAGGCACTCGTAACGTGTCCTGGCTTGCCTTATAATTAACCCTTTTATTAACATCCTTTCCTACTTGCCCGGGTGTGTTTGTGTGCATAGTTTTGCAGGAAACTTTCTTATCCGAGTAGTCATGTGTCCCAAGAAGGCGTGTCGTATGCTCTTGAATTTCAATCAGAGTAGTGGAACAATCCCTGTATTATTTGATAGGATTTAATCAGAAGATTACTATCCAATCTACCAGCAACCCCGTTTCAGATAATGACTCAATAAATCTTTCCTAAGATGAAACTATTTCCTTACTTTTCATACAAAAGCCCTACCCTTATAGTTCCCAGGGTATCCACATATTCCCACCATTCCCAGTCAAAGTTTATCCCATTGTTTGATGCCCCAGAGAAGTTACTCCTTCGTGTGTCCTGGCGCCATTTGCCAATTATGCGAACCATTGATTTGACGAACAAAAGAAACCCCCTAGAATGGGTAAATGGTTAGGTCTTGCGAAATATGTATATATATATACTTTTTGTGGTAGCTAATTAACAATAAAAAGACGAAAGCGGAAAATGAGATCATATTATAGGGAGCGAGTTGGATGTCCCCTCTGGTGATCCATGCGACGCCTGTGCTTGTGGTAGCTGCAAGAGCAGCATTTGAGATTCTTCCTCATGGTCTGCCGCTTCCCCTGCTGGTCCCCTTTTATAACCACACAGTCCCGCTGATACGGGCCCAGGCTCTTTAGGTCCACCCAGTCGAAGAAAATGTCGTTGGTCCTCCGCCGACGGAAAAAAAGATTCCGGAACATCTGCCGCAAATACATGTAGTCGGGCATCTCTGCGAAGTGAAGGCAGCGGCAGTACCGGAGGTACATCAAGAACTCGTCAGGCATGTCGCTGCACAGGGTGTTCAGTGGCATGGAGGCCTTTATTTCGGCAATCTGCTCGAACTTCTGTGCCTTGGAATCGGCCACAATGCCCTGCCAAGGGAGTCTGCCGCGCCGAAAGTAGATGATCATGTAGCCAATGGACTCCAAATCATCGCGGCGCCCCTGCTCGGCGAAATGCGCCCGAACGGAGGCATAGCGCGGTGTGCCCACCAGTTCCCGACTCTGGCTGTACTCGATGTGCATTCCTGTGCTGGGATTGTAGAACTTCTTGGCCAGGCCAAAGTCAATAAGGTAGACCAGGCTGCACTTTGCACCCAGACCCATCAGGAAGTTTTCTGGCTTGATGTCGCGATGGACGAAGCACTTCTGGTGGACGAACTCCAGACGGGCCAGCATCTGATCGGCCAGCATCAGGGTGGTGTTCAGGGTGAAGGTGCGCGTGCAAAAGTTCAGCAGATCCTCCAGTGTGGGTCCCAGCAGATCCAGTACCAGAAAATTTACATCTCTCTCGGTTCCGTAATATCGTATGCGGGGGATTCCTTCACCCTCAGCGAGAAGTTTGTATATCTTCGCCTCGCGTTCCAGCATCGGGTGCGCGGCATTGACGGGCTCCACCTTCGCAGCCACCTCCTCGCCATCTAAGATATCTATAGCCCGGTAAAGCTCTCCGAAAGAGCCATTCCCGATGCGTTCGATTAGGCGATACCTTCCGCCCACTATGAATTCCGAAGGGTCCATGATGTCCACTTTAGGAGCCTCACGTCGTGGACTTGGATGCTTGCGATTCTTACGTTTCTGCCTTTTTTCCTTCTGTTCGAACTCTAGGATGTGCTTCTTCCATGCCAAAACGATTTTATTTGGTGTAAATTCGAGTTTTGCTTGGGGTGTCTCATTTCTGTTATGAATACAGAAATGCCTATCTGCGTTGCAGCAGTAGGTTTCCGTGTAGTTTTCCCCGGGAACGAGGGTTTTTGATCCGTCCAAGGACTCTACTAGCTTGGGTTCTGTGTTGAGAGAGGTCGATGATAGACACTCAGCAGTCATATATGTTGTACCATCAGCTATGGACTCTGCCCTGACTAGAGGGCTACTAATACCGCACTTTCCCAACACTTTTTCCGGTACCGACATGGCTCTATAGTGTCTATCTTTTGAGAAAAGAAAATTATATGAAAATATATTCTAATGGTTGTCGATACCCAATGTGTAGAGTACTGAATGAAAAATCGACAAGCAAACTGACGGAATATTAGATGTATATGTATCTCTAGGAAAATGCTATAGGTCGGTGTTTCCGCACAAATAATGTGTTCCAAAGCAATTAAGCGGGCATCAATGTTTATACGAAATTAAATTAAAATTCATGCCATTTTGGAAAGCGGGCAAACAAAATTAAATTAACACGATAACCCAATCGGAGAAGAACTCCGGACCAGACCATGCCACAACCTGTCAAGCCTTCAGCTGCAGTTGCAATATACGAGTAGTTGATGGCCTAGTGTATTTTTTTTGGCTCTTAAATTGTTTTTCCAGCAATTTTTTGACCCCCAATACTCGTACTCGTGGGTATTTTTTTGGCAAGCTCTTCATACAGTTCATACAGTTTGACACTTAATTTCCAATTAGTTTCAGCTGAGATGGCAAACTTTTTGGCCACATATGGAGGCATCACTCATGCGCCCTGGTGTTCAGTGGGTGTGCCACTTCAAAATTGATTAATTTAGTAAATTGATTATGCAACCTGCCTGGGATCCTCATTGGCATCATTTCTGCAGCATTGGCATCATTCACCTGCCAGGTGAGGCTGCCACTCAATTGGTCTGCTTAGAGCTGCTCCTGCTCTTCCTTTGCTGCTTCTCCTGCTGATGCAATTTTCCATTTGCCATGTGCACTTTCAATTAAATTTATTTCAGTCTGCCATACTGCACGTTCTCCTATTGTTGGAGGGGAACAATTTCATCTGCACTCGACATAATATTCTCATAAATAGAGCAAGAGATATCTGCCTCCTGTTGTGGCACATTTTGTGCCCGTTTCCATTATCTATTCAGTAGTTTCGCGAATGCTTTCAAGTTTATTAGATTTATGGCCAAAAATGTTTATGAACATTTGTAATTACAGGACAAGCGACCAGCCAAGTGCATATTTCTGCAGGGATTTTCCCATAAAAATTCCATAAATTGTTTCATGTAAACTATGTCAATTGAAAAACATGCACTCCCATTGAGGGAAAACTATGGAAATAGCTTTGAAGAGTTTAAAAGGATCTACTATGTAGTGACATTTTAGGGGCATTTTGTCTAAATAAACTGAAAATTATGGGCAAATAAAACAAATAAAGGATTACAAAAAGGGGGAGCAAGTTGCAGTAATTCCAAGTTCGAGTATTTATCATTATTATTATGTATTATGCTCTAAGATACAATTTTTTTTGCAGTGGATATAAACTTACGAATCATATATCAAATAAATTGAATATCTCTTTAAATCTCTTTCCACTTTCATTTAGTAAATACGAGTATGTATCTCCTCTTTTCCTTTCTTTAAGACCCCCAATTAAGTTCGCTAAAGTATTTGCCTAATTTTCAATCCCTTCCCCAAATCCAAACTAATTCATTTCGCAACTATGTTGTTTCAACCCTCACCCTATCCACCCAAAATAAACCCCGTCTGGTATGGTCTTGGGGTTAGGGGAAAGACCCACAGAAAACCCTCACAATTAATACTCATCTACATATTTTGCTGCTTATAAACTGCAATAAAATAAAACGAATGGGTGCCTTGACAATTTTAATGTGAAGTTTACTTGGGCGATTTGCATGGCAAATCGTGGTGCGGTGGTGCGGCGGTATGGTGGCGACATGGCTGACAACCGGAACCGGAAGTGGATCCAGCCCGTACCCTGAGCTCTTATTTATGCGATGCGAGTGTGAGCACAACAGAAGAGCAGTGGGAGGAGCCGAACAAAAGCCGGCTTAGCAGAGACTCTCCCTATGCCCCTCCCTCCATCAGTGTGTGGGTGCGTGTGTCTAGTAGTTATAGCTTCACACAGATACAACACACGCATGCAATAATGCTTCGTTTATGGTTGCTTGGGCATAGAGCCTCCTCCTCTAATCAGCTGAGCGTCGAGCGGGTGACAGGAAGAGGCAGCATTAATTTAAAGCTTATGGCGCATTAATTTTAATTAAAATGCTGCCACAGCAACTAGCAGCAATAAAAGCGGCGTCATCACTATCCCCTCTCCTGATACGTCCACTGCCAGTGACTGCTCCACAGCCTCTGTTCCAGCAACTTTTGTATGATGGAAAAGTTTGGCCAGCAGCTCAGAATGATTAGCCATGTTAAGTGTGGAAAGGAAAAGGAGAAGGCAGGAGGCTCCCTCTGCTAACTGGTTTGTCACATTTCACTTTCCATTTCCATTGGTGTCTCGTTTGTCACTCGCTCTTTACTCTTTCTCTTTTGTTTGATTTCTTTTCTATATCGCTTTTGTTTGCAACACTTTGGTGGCCTCATCAACATCTCGTTTTTCACGTGTCCCCTGCCCCTTTTATGGCAATTGAAAGCTTGCTTCCTGTCAAAAGTTATCCCTACCTTGGGTTCATTCCCCTCGCAGCTGCTCCCTTTCTTGATGCCTTGTCAAAGGTTATGACCAAATTGTCTGCACATGCTTCGCATATTTCATAGTTTTCCCGTTCTTTTGTGCGGTTGTTGTTGGCACCACAAAAGTTTTTGGACAGCTAAATCATTTACATACACACTTTCAGGACAATTTTCAAACCACATCCGATGTTCCAGTGTCTTCGCTGAAGTCCCACTTTCGAGTCAAAGTCCCAGTTTCCAGCTATGTCCCTGTCCCAGTCCCATCTGAAGTGTTCTGCTTACATGGCGTATGAGTGATGTGATGCCTTGAGTGTCATCTGGCCGAGGTTACAACTGTCTTGCCTTTTGTCTGGCTCACCATCCATCTTCTACTCTTAACCTCCTTTTCGTTGTCTTCTATATCTCTCTCTCTCTCTTTCTCTTTCTCTCGTATAACCCCTTTTTGAGGGTCTTTCTTAACATCCTTTCTTGGAGGTGTTGTAGCATTTGTTTTCAATTCACATCCAACCGAAAGTTGTTCATCTTCCTTTGAATCATTTGCACATGTGTGGAGAAAAGTTTTACCATATTTGATTTTAGTTTCAAGAAATCGCTTTAAGAGTTTAGAAGGGTATTGGACTTATAAAGTTCACAGAGAATTTTAGATGGATTGTAGAGTACTTTAATTTTATTCAACTACTAAAATCGCAAAAATTAGTAGTGCGCATAGTCCTTGAAATTGAATATTTTAAATTCTCTTTATTTGAATTTTCTGCATTCTTTGATATTTTTTCTTTATTTTTTCATAATTGGAAAACCACAAACAATATACAAAAATCATACAATCATTCGCCGCAAGGAAACAATTTTTTTGTTGCCAGTTTTTAGTATTTTTCTGGACCAACTGCATGCACTTATCCGTACACTCGTATGGCAGCCATCTCCTGCAGATATTCACTTACAAAAGGCGAGTCTGACTTAGTCATATGCAAATTTCAGCCTCTTGCTCTGAAGCCTTTCTCTGTTTGTTTTGTGGTTTCTGTTTTGGCTCTGATTTTGAAAAGATTCCGACAAAGCCAGAAGAACTCACTCCTTCTTGACTTTTTGGTTTTTACTGTTTCTCTCGCCTTGTGATGCAAATTAGTTCAATATGACTTGGTGCTGGCTGCTCCAAAGACTGGCATACAAAATTGCCTTAATGGAAATTATAATCATGCTGACAATGCGTCATGGCCACGCCCGCTCTCCATCCCCACCCCCTTGTAGGGGCTGGTTGGCCTGATTATCAGAAGCGGCGACAATTTCGCTGACATTGTTGCCAACAAATTTAGGAGGGTAAAAAAAAGGCACCAACAAAAAAAACCAAGTCTTGCACAAAAACTCATTAAAAGTGACAGAGAAGATGAACAAGAATTGTTAAGGAATTCACGGGTACCTTGTCGTGGGCCCTAAATATATACATAACATCAAAAATTAATGAAAAGAAGAGGCAGGAAAGAAATTGGAGCCATTGACAATGGAAGAACAATGAGATGACAAAAGTTGAAGTTCGTTCTTCACGAAATATATAGATGCCAGAGGATAGATTGAAGAATGAAAGGCTCTCAATGCCATGCTAAATATATCTTTAAGATGATTTTCCCTTTTTCCTGTTTTATGGTACACTTTGGCAATTGCTTAAATACATATTCAATTTGTTGCCGGCCCTCGGGACACGTACATAGAACATCAACATAATTTCGACGCGTTTCGGCAATTTGAACACGTTCAACAACCGCATCCAAGGATCCATCCCAGTATTCCAGTATCCCAGGCCCCGCCCCAGCGATTGTTTGCTATTTTTAAATTCTATAGGCGTAACTAGAATTTAATTTCTCAACCGCCCTTTGGTTGGGGGCTGGGTTGTGTGGCTCCTGGGTCCTTGGCTTTCCATTGGAACACGTACGTACACTGGTTCTTTTTCTTGTTGGTGTGGGCGTGGGCTCTACGTTAAGCACATCTTCAGATCCCGGCCAAAGACAACAAAAGACGTTTTGGCATATATACAGACTTACTCCTACGCGTGCCAAAAAGTAAACGTTTGAAAAAAGCCATCCAAGCCAAGGCGAGGGCCAAGGCAAGGGCCAAGGCCCTGCGAAGTTTTCCATGTTATATCTTTATTAATGGATCGGTGGTCTGCCTTAAATTAATCAAAATTGAAATTGAAATTAAATACATATTTCAAATGAAAACAATTTGAATTGATGAAGTAATTGAAAATGTTATGAAAAAATCTATAGAAATATATTAAAAGATTTAATTTATGAGTGGTTTACTTATAGACAATTATTTTTAGCTGCTTTGTGGTATTAAATATTAATTCAATTGAAAGCCGTCGATTTTTCTTTTATCCCAATTTTAAGTTTACTTTTGGTAACTGTTTCCATGTTCTTAGATCTTCCTACTCATAAAGAGATTGCTCTAATTCTTTAATTAATTTGTATTGGTTTAAAATGAAACCCGATTTAATTCGAATTTTCCACCTATTTATTGAATGTTATTCCTTGCTAAATTCCGCTCTTCTTTCCCATCTACTTTTGGAGTGTATTCCCCTACGCTACCTACCACTTATGGGTATAACTCAGACAAA